GCCACACGTCTATTGATCGATATATATCGTTATTGAATTATCGCCCAGCCCTAATATATATGTGTGTGTACACACAAGTCATGAAGGCATTAAAATGAAAATAATTTCTAAGGGCATTAAAAAGCACTGAATTAGAGTTAGTCATTCTCTGTATAAACCCTGTTATTATATCTTTTGCAAAATAGCTTTATTGAAGAATTATCTGTGAACATCTATATGTTGATGTTTTACTGGAAGGTCATTTTCTAGCCTCCAACTTCACCAGTTCTGTATTTACCTCCATCCAAGACCAGACCAGATAAATCATTTAGAACTGTGGCTAAAGACTGCGACTCCATGTTTTTATTAGTTTGAGTCTGACTTTAAATCAGTTTAATGCTCCAGGATTTTAAAAAATATGTTAATGTTTTTTAATTCTTGTTTTTATTCTAAAGCTTTTTGTGTTTTTTGACCTTTTGAAAGCTGGTATATTAAAATTGTAAATTGTTGTCTCTATTTCATAAAGGTAATGTGATTATTAGTGTGGTTAGCATACAAAGTTAGCAATGGCTGCATTAAAGTTTGTTATTTATTAAAGTTTATTAAAATGAGCCTTTCCTCATGAATCTGATTTTATTTCTCTCAGATCTTCATCTTCTTCGTGTCGGTGACGGTCGCGGCTATCAACGCTCAGTGGTTTGGCCAAATGACGTCAGAGATCATGGCGGACATGCATCTTATCGAGCAGGCATGCGGGCTGGGTCAAGATATCGGGCTGTCGTCCAACCGCGAGGCTTACGCCAAGCTGTGCGAGTCGGACGTGAAATACAAACACCTGAGCAGGCGCCTGTGGCTGTACCGCCTGCTGTCGTCCCTCTGTAACCTCTGCTGCATAGGCTGCAACTTCTACAGCCTGTCCTACATGGCCGAGAACCTGGTGAAGCTGTAAACCTCACACACACACACACACAGGCTGGAATCTGACCTCCAGCACAACTGCACGCTTTCACCTCAACAGCAGCGGATATATTTTTCAATATGAGGTGAAAAGTCAGGAGAGTTAAATTTTTCCTTGGTTTTATCGGATAACAAAAGGAAGGCGACTCATTCTGTCAGACACGCCTCTCGTCTTGCCTTTTCATGGAGACTGCAACCTTTCACCTAGTAGGGCTGACAGCTGCTCTGATGTTGCTCCTGTTTTACCTTTGAGGTTAATATGGTGTCCTGAAATTAATTTAATGTTGTTTTTTGATGATTTGTTTTCTATGTGGGACAATGAGGGAGCATTTGGATCAGGATTTCTCCATTCTGATAGAAGCACCTGGACCTTTAGTGAAGGAGTTTTCCTACTCCTGCTCTCCCTGTTTAGGGTGGAGTTCCTTCTGTTGTAGTTCTGCAGGTTTGTCTGGCTTTGTTTTTTTTTCCTTTTCACGTTTTAGAGCTGAAGGCTGCACTTTATCGGTCTTTCTATCTCCTGGCTGGTTGCAGAATGACAAACACTCAGGTGTGCAGGGAGCCTCTCCACACCTTTATATCCAGGTTGTTATGGAGGCCGTTTGGGAGTCTGACCGATCCGCTGGACTCCATCGCACACGTGCTGTAGCTGCTTTGAACGTCACCAGTTCAGCTGAGTGGCGTTCCTGTGAAGAATCTAGTGGTTGCACTGATATAGAAGTTAGATTGAGGATAGTTCTCTTGTGGGTTTTTTTTTTTTGATTGCCAAATATCTGTGGTGACTCCAAAAATGTCCCTTGATGGTGCAGCAGGCTAAGTCTGTCATGCAGGGGCCTCTGGAGATCTGCATTGGCCAGAAGTCCAAACCTCTGCATAAGGGAGCGGTTGTAAAGCCCCCCCTCCCCCTCCAGTGGTGACAGACATCTGGATTTCATGTTGACTTTATTCTCTCTGATGAACGAAAGAAAGAGCCGCCTTTATGCTGTTTTTATTGGTGAGACGTCTTCATCGCAGCTAAAGTTTTTATGTGTTTATTTTATTAATCATCTTCTGTAGAGGTGAAGGATATTTGCTGGCTTTACTTAACAGATTGTCGGTGCGTCTGCGTTTTGCTTTCTGGTAAAAGGAGGGAAATTTTACAGAAGCCAAAATATTTTTTGTTTTCCATCATGTTCTGCTGTTTTATTTAGCTTTATATGGTGAAGAGAGGATCTGTGTTCAACTGTTTTTTTTTTCTAGCTTGGTAAGCGTTGATCTTGAACGCACATCTACTGTTTAGCTTAGTAAAAAGAAGCAGGCAGACCATCCTGAGATGTTTCTAACCCAGTAGTATGAAGCTTGGTCTGGACGGCTGTAATACGCACATTACTGGCAAAAACAATGCAATGTTATCTGTTTTTAAACTCTATCACGTCATTTTATGTATACATGTAAATATATACAGAGAATTTTACAAGAAACTGTTAATATTTATGTTTTGTAAGGACAAGCTGGTCATTGGGTTATAATTAAAACATGTTTGTTAGTGTTCTTACACCTCATCAGTGATCATTTGATTATGCTGTGGGAGTTTCATTAAATTGTTTAAATATGATTTTGTTTTTGAAATTATTTTTTTGTCATGTCTTTCATAATATAACATTACGATTACTAATGTTATGATAGAAATGACAATAATCACACTATAGAGTTCTACTTTACAGATATATAACATGTAATATTCAACATTAAGCTGCTGGTTTTTGGTTTAATATTTAACCAAATAATCAGAGTCCCTAAAGTTAAGCTAAGGTAGACAACAGTTTTTAAAAAATCCATCCTTGTTTATAAAAAATAAAGGATTAATAGCAGCGATGAGTCCATGAACACTAAAACGTCGGTGCGTGCATGGAGCCCATAGATCATCACTGTATCGGCGCGCGTCATGTGACTGATCCAGAGGTCGTTTCTGACTGAGCGACTCACTAAACTGTGTTTTAAAAAAAAAAAAGTATCTGTCAACATGATGCATCTGCTTAAAAAATGTCTCATCTTTTGCGGTTTATTAAAATGATCAAGGATTTTGGAGCAGTTTAATTTTAAATTAACTCTTAGTTTATTTGCTGTTTTTGCTGTACTTTTAAAATCGATTTAAAATCCTAATCCACAAGTATCCTCGTTTATTTCCCCCAAGATTATCACAGTATATGCTTACATCATTTATTGGCTGCATCTAAAAATATCAAAGGTATTTTTAATTTAAACATAGATATGAAATAAAAAAATACAATAACTTAAATATCATTGCACCAGATCAGGGGGGCTGCGACCCCTAGGGGGTCCACAGAGGTACTGCATGGGGGTTGCGAAAGATTTAGTTTATTAGGATTTTCTTTTATATTCCACCCTGCAATTGTTTCCACTAATTGCAATGTCTTTAAAACACACTGTAGCAGATAAATGGAGGCAGAAGATGTCTTTCAGTCATCAATGCTCACATTCAGCGACACACAGCTCTTTCAAGCTGGGCACCGTTTCATTCTCAACACCTGTCCCATCAACCAGGAATCAGAAATACTCTAATAATCCTAATATAACATAATTTCATACGATATATATAATTAGGGGGTCCCTGCTCCATCTCGCCATCAGTTCGGGGGTCCTTAGCCTGGAAAACCTTGAAGACCTCTGCACTAGATCATCAAATCAATTGAGTGTGTAAAATAAGCTGCCTGTAGTGTCTTTAAATGTCCAGCAGGTGTCAGTATTCGGTGGTTATTCAAGATGCCTCATTAAACATCACTAACAGTGAAAGAGCTTTAGAACAGATATGTACGGAAGAGGATTAGGGCCACTGGGGAAAAAAAAGTTAACTGATTTTTTTTTTTAGTATGAGAAAGTCAGAATTCTGACTTTTTCTCAGAATTCAGAGAAAAAAGTCAGAATTCAGTTTCCCATACTAAACTAAAATAAAATTTAAAAGTCAGTTAACTTTTTTCTTTTCCAGTGGTCCCCAATCCTCTTCCGTTGGAACTCTTTATGTCAAAGAATTTGAGAAAACTTTTCCTGTGGCTTTATGAACCACAGTATCAGAAAATGCTAACCTGCACACGCTACGCTGCTGCTTAGGTGGCTGGACTGCATTAATGCTCTCTTACATGTAGCGTTACATTTAGTAAACATCTCAACAGTAGAATAAATCATTTATGCTTTAGGACAAACTGACAGCAAACAAAATCTCAAAACAAACAGCATTTATTAACATTTGGCTTCATATAAAACACTTTATAAAAAAAAAAAACTAGGTTCTTTTTAATGTAAAAATACATTTTTCCATCTACAAATACTTTTCATAATCAGTCCACTTCCAGAGAAAGTAGTAACAAAAAAAGGAATAAATATAAAAGACCCTTTTAATAATAACAGGAATGTGAATCCCATGATAGATCAATATTCTCAGCCATTTCTTTACTGCTTTGTGAGACCTACCGGTACCAGTTAAAAGTGCGAGACAGCTGTGTAAAAACAAAACAATGCAAACAAAAACCAAAAGGTTTAGTTTCCTGTTCCTCACTAATACAACTGGGTGCATTGATCAAGAGTCTCTGAAAATACAGTAACGATGAGGAAGATCCTCATTTCTCCCTGAAACCTCAGCAGCAGGTTTACATCAGAATCTCCCAAAACAAAAAGCGAAGGCAAAGACTCTGAGGACGTCGTTCCCAGAAGGCAGTAAAAGCGTACATGCCTTGGAAATAACCATGACTTCTTCTGTCCCCGTCACGCAGCAGTTTGAACTCTAAAAACTTCAAACCCTGAAATAAGATTTTCATCTAAAACCAGAAAAACACTGAATAGAAAATATGTTTTTATATTTTCCCTTGTTCTGAATGTGCAGCATTATAAAAAACATTTAATCTGGAGGATTTAGTACCCAGGTAGTGGGTAGCATAAGCAACCAAAGGCTCCTTTTCCATTAAAACTCAAAGTTTACAGAGAATGAATCCCTGCTGCTACAACACCCCATAAATTAAAGTAGTTCTTTAAAAATAGTTTTTCCTTCCAGTTTGTGTCATTAGAAGGACCAGATCCAGTGTCTGTCACACAACAACCTTCCCCTTGATCTCCAGCTTGGCGCTGTCGCTCTGCTTGCTGGACTGCTCCTCTTTCAGGGTGATGTACGAATACACCAGGCTGCCAGCAATGCTGCAGACAGACGGAAGACGACGATGACATTGGGACACAATCAGAAAAGTTTAGTGATCAGTCTAAAGGCGGCGGATCTTTTCAACTTAAGAAGTTACTTCAAACAAACAAATAACAGAGTCAAAAAAACAAAAAACTTCAATGAAAAGAAACGTTTTCAATCATAGAAAATAGTTTTTGAATGCAAATAAAATATTTGAGACTCAAAAAATTGGGGTAAATTTTTTTTTTTTGCATTTGCACACTTTTTTTCTTTGATTTATTTATTTATTTTTTTTTATTGAAACTGCTTTTTGGGAATTGAATGATTAAGACACAAATGTCGTACCCATGTGTGGCCCAAACACAAAATAGATCCCTTCAACCAAAGAGAAAATTTTCAACAATAAAAAGAGTTTTTAAATGTTATTTGAGTCTCAAATATTTTATTTGCATTCAAAAACTATTTTCTATGATTGAAAATGTTACTTCATTAAAGTTACTTTTTTTATTGCTTCTGTTGTTTGTTTGAAGCAACTTCTTTTTTGATTGAATAATAAAGACACAAATGTCCCACCCATTATATGGTCCAATCAAAAAACAATGTTACTTCAATTAAAAAAAGTTGCTTTAAACAAAAAAACTGGACTTCTATCAAATAAAACATTTTCAATCAACGAAAAGCAGTGTTCAAATCTAGTTTTTTTTTAAACTCAAATATTGAAATCCTTTTTTTTTTTAAGTTTTTTTTTCATTGAAGTGAAGATTTTTTTTAATTGAAAATATATTTTTTGATTGAATAATAAAGAAACAAATCTACCTTCATACTTTTACTGCCACTAAACTTTCCGTTTTATCTCCATCACAAACTAGAAGCTGCTTTTCAAGGAATAAACCAACACCAAGCAGTGAAATATTGAAATAGACAAAATAGATACAGAAATAGATCTAGGGCTGCAACTATTATTTTGCAAATCAATTATCTGTTGATTATTTTTCAATTAATGGATTAATAACCAGATAGTTACATTCTAACCTCAGCCTTCCCAGCTAAGCTAAGCTTTATGAACTCCTGCTGAGGAACTAGCGAGCATTTTATCTCTAAACATTATCAGTTATATAATGATTGAATGTTTTCCACACAAATCTTAACTGAACCTCGTTTACTTTCCAAACTTTAAATATCTTAAATGCCGGGAGCTTCTCAGCATCACAATAAGGACTATTTTAGATGATCTGAAAACTTCCTTACAGTGTGTTAACACCCAATCTATAGATCTGGATCTATATTAAAATAAATGTTTCAACATGTGAAATAAAGAGGTTATTGCCTCAGCATTCAGGTAGAGCTGAAACTAATGATTATTTTGCAAATCGATTAATCTGTAGGATATTTTTTAAATTAATTGATTAATAATCTGATAGCAAAAGATTCCTTAAAGAATTTTTATAAAATAAAACAGGTGAAACTAAAACTTTTCCACTTGAGTTTTAGATAAAACATATTGACACATTTTATTTATTTTTTATCTTAAATGCTAAATGTTTTCATATATTTTACAATTTTGATATAATTCCTGCTATAAGCGGGTCACTCTGCCAGCTAAAGGCACAATTTAGAGGCCCTACACGCCAATCAACCATTAATCAATTACTAAATTAGTTGACAATTATTTCAATAATCGATTATTCCTATCAACTGTTTCAGTCCTGGAAATATCTATTACCAGCAAAGTGTTTAAACATTGACTCTACTAAATATAACCCAGTGGAGAAAAGAAAATTCTCCAAACATTGGAGGAGCAGCAGGGATAGAGAGCTAAATGTGCACAGACCTGGTCTTAATGGAAACATTTAGAAAAGAAAGGCAACGTTTCAATGTTTAAACATCTAAACTGGATGTTAAAGCGAGGAAACTTCTAGAGGCTGCTGGACCTAAACGCTCCTGTCACATCCTGACCATTTAGACCAGCCTGAAGTACAGATCCTCTGGGAAGAACGCCGCCCTACGCTGAATAAGTTATGGTTACGCTGAAACACGTCGACATACAGAGACTACGTCCAGAACTTCCCGCCTTATGCCAGCGTCTGCCGTCAGTTTCAGGTCAGTTTTCTGATGGTTGATCCGTTCAGTGTCAGTTCCCCTACTTCTGCGTAACTTATCCAGAACTTCTCTCCAACATATCAGCGTATCTGCCGTGTTCCAGACGAGCGCTGAACGTGTTTCTAACTTCCAGCTACTGTATAATGGCGTATTGGCAGCGTTTTGGTATAAAGGGGGTTCACAGGAGGAAACCGTCAGTTCTCCTCCAGACTTCATCCCCATCATAGGGGGAGCCAGAAGGTGAGTGATGGATCCTCCCTGCGTTCACGCCCACCACCAACACACTTCCTAGCAGACATGACGCTCAATCTGCTGACACCAGAAACCTTTTATTTATTCTTTCCTTTGGTGGGCGGTAAACAGCAGCTAGGTTAATACCGCGATCAAAGACATCTTTTTTCGCAGGCCGGGGGCATCACTGCCCCCTTCAGGACACTGGCTTGTACATCATTTCATGGGCGTTACGCTGCCGTGCGTTATGCATAAGTTAGGCTGTCTTTGGACAGAAGTTCTGAATACTCTAATTATCTATGTATTCGCTCAGAATAGAAAAGATCAATGGAAAATTCAGCGTATGTCAGCGTTTTAGGAGATTCTGGCAGACGCCAGAATAAATCAGCAGGGTGTGACAGGAGCCTAAAGACCGATTTTGGAAACACGTGGTTTAAAATCAAAGCATGTTCTGTATTATAATGGTCTAGTTAAAGTCCAGACCTAAATTATGCTGATTGGAGTTATTTGGAAAGAAGGAGGAGCAGAAATGTTCGTGTCTAGATGATCAATACTGGAAGAAATATTCCCAAAAAGACCAGGCTGACCCAGATCACAAACTAAGGCTGCAACTAACAATTATTCTGCTGAACGATTAATCTGTCCATTATTTTTTCAATTAATCAATAACTGGACAGCAAAAGGTTCTTTAAAGACTTTTTACAAAAGTAAACCAAACTTTTCCACTTGAGGAGTTTTGGACAGATCATACTGACAGATGAAAAAGGTTTTTATTTTAAATGCAAAATAATTACATATTTTTCTTTACAATTTTGATATAATTCCTGCTCTAAGTGAGTCGCTCTGTTTTACAGTCTCTATTTAATGATTAATCAATTACTGAATTATTTAAATGAAATCCATTATTTCAATAATGGATGAATCATTATTAATCCAATTAGCAGTTTGAGCTAAAACACATGCCGATTATTTCAACCAAGCATTTTCTTCCTGCTTTACATCAAAACCCTTTGAGTTCGTTTATCACATAAAATTCCAAAAGAATACATTGAAATTTGTGCTTAGAAGATGACAAATATAAAAATGGTTATAAATGTTTATACTAGGGCTGCAACACCGAATCGATAAAATTGATAAAAATCGACTTTTAAAAG